CAGTATCCAATCTTAATACATTAAATAGGAAAAATAAAAAAGAAAGATACTCTTTGTCAAATGCTCCAGTTGTAGGCTAACAAACACCAAGACTTTGTGTCCAACATATACAATAAGAAAGGCTCTATGGGACTGGGAAGGTGGCTCAGTGGTAGAGTACTTGCCTTGCATGCACGAGGCCCTGGGTTCAATTCCTCAGCACCACATAAGCAGAAAAAGCCCAAAGTGGCACTGTGGCTCAAGTGGTAGGGTACTAGCCTTGAGCTGAAGAGCTGAGGGACAGCACCCAGGCCCAGAGTTCAGCCCCCAGGAATGACCAAAAAAAAAAAAGGCTCTATGTCCCCAGCAGCACAATGGTTTGAAATACCTGGACTAGGAGGATACCTTTGAGTTCTCTGTAAATCAAGACATTAAGAAAGAAAATACTACCTTATTCTTTTTTTATACCTGCTATTAAAAAAAAAGTCAGCAGCAGCAGCCCCCTATGATTAACTTATAATAATTATAGCCTACAGTTTTTTAATGATTGTACTTTGAAGTACAGCAGGTCGTATGTTTGATCTTTCTTTGTTGGTAAGTCTTAATTAAAAGTTAGGGCCAAGTGACGGTGTGACAACCGAATGTTAAAAACTATTGTGCAAACGGGGTGTTGGTAGCTCATGCCTGTAATCCTCAGGAGACTGAGATTTGAGGATTGAGGTTTGAAGTCAGCCCAGGCAGGAAAAATCTGTGAGATTCTTATTTCCACTAATCCACTAAAAAAGCTGGAAGTGGAACTGTGGTTCAAGTGGTAGAGTGCCAGTCTTGAACTCAAAAGCTCAGGGGCAGTACCAAGGCCCTGAGTTCACGCTTAGGATCAGCACAGGGAGGGAGGGAGAGAGGAAAGAGAGAGAGAGGGATAGAGAAAGGGAGAAAGGGAGAGAGGGAGAGAGAAGGAGGAAGAGGAAGAGAGGGAGAGCACACGCAAACGTGCTAACGTGAGTGTGCATAACGGATTTTTCTGCCCAGATCTCAGCCTCCAGAGTAGCTAGGATTCAGGAATGAGTCACTGGTGCCTGGGCTCTGTTTTTGTTTTTAAAAACATACAAACAGAAAGTCTTGCTAGCCTGAAACGGTTTCAATCTCCTATATTAGTAATCTTCCTAGCTCAGACTCTTGAGGGCCTGAAACTGGTGAAACTTATGTCTTGTAAAGATTCATGTGAGACCTTGATTGTTGATACACATTTAACATTGAACTCCTGTGATTTCCCTTACCCACTGCATCCTCTTTTTTTCTCATGGTGGCGAGGAATCAAACCTAGGGCCTTGTACATGGCAAGTAACTGCTGTAGCATTGGACTATACTCTCAATCCATATTCCCAGTTTTTAATATCCCAAATGTTAGTACAACTTTTAAAAGCAGACAAGCCAAGTGCTGGTGACTCATGAATGTAATCTTAGCTATCCAGGTGGCTGAGATTTGAGTATCTTAGTTCAAAGCAGCCTAGGAGGAAAAAATCTCGAAGATTCTTATCTATAACTACCAAAAAGTCAGAAGTAGAGTTGTGGCTAAAATGTTAGATCCATCAGCCTTGAGCAAAAAAGTTGGGGACAGCGTTCAAATCCTGAGATGTTCAAGTCTCAGGACCAACCCCAGGGAAACAAAAAAGCAGCTCATTTTTCATGTTTTAGCTTATGCGTACACATGAATATAAGCAGAAAGTTCTCTTTAGCTTTAACAAAACACAAAAAATACTACTATGTGTAATGTGCTGCCCAAAATGAGCTTCCATAAAAATCAGAGCCACAATCTTAGTGAGATACATACTGGCATTTTTTTTTTTTAGTTTGGGTTTTTTAAATTAATTAATTAATTTATTTATTTATTTTTGGTCGGTCATGACCTGAACTCTGGGCCTGGGCCCTGTCCCTCAGCTCTTCAGCTCAAGGCTAGTGCTCTACCACTTGAGACACAGCACCACTTCCGGCTTTTTTCTGCTTATGTGGTGCTGAGGTATCGAACCCAGGGCCTCATGCATGCAAGGCAAGCATTCTACCACTGAGCCAACTTCCCAGCCCCCATACTGGCAAGTTTTTAACACTGCAATTCTATTATGTGACATATGAAAGAGAATAAATACAAATACCAGATTATGTGTGACAGCTCTAAACACTAAAATCTAATAGTGAACACACTGAAATAATGTCTCCCTGGGGGAGCCCTATATATACATTACATATACAAGTATTTGATGAGAAGCAGTTACTCACATTTACATCTGTGTGATGAATTAAAACACAAAGGGCTGGAAGAATCTAAGGAGAGAAATATGCAGGTTTTAAAACATACTTAGATAAAACACACATAAATACCTATTTTATTTAATTAAAAAAATCTGTTTACCTCCTGGATGGTCTCCATTGGTGGTGGTGGGTCTTTGTGGCGACACAGGTTGACCATAACCCAAGTCACGTTTCTTAAGAATGTTATTGGAATAGATGGACTTATGAATGAAAGTAAAGGTTTTACAACGCCAAGACTTATGACATAATCTCTACACTGAGGTCCATCACCTGTAGACAGGATTAATAGGACAAGAAGCATCTTTAGAAAACATATAGTACTGAATACAGTATGTTAATTAACTAGTTTTACATAAAATTCAGAATGTGAACCACGATGTTGACACTCACACATCATACATTTTTAGCTTTATAAGCTGCTCATTATGCCATCTAAATTCTGGAAGCCTAAGGGTGCCATGGCTAAGGGTGCCATGGCTAAGGGTGCCATGGCTCATGCCAGTAATTCCAGCCACAGGAAAGGCAGTGCTAGGAGAATTACAGTCCTAGGCAAGCTTGAACAAAAATGCAAAAACAAACCAAAACAAAACAAACAGCTCCAAGAGTGGTGGCAGAGTGCATGTCTAGCAAGTACAAGGCCTTGAGTTCAAATGCCAGTACTACCTTAAAATACTTAGTGAGAACTGTTGCTCTTTAATGTTACTCTTGTCACTGTACTGTATGGTACACTATGGTAATAAAATGTTATGTCAAAGCTGAGCACCAGCGGCTCATGCCTGTAATCCTTGATACTCATGAGGCTGAGATCTAAGGATCACAGTTTAAAGCCAGCCTGGGTAGGCAAGTCTATGAAACTTATCTCCAACTAACCACCAGAAAGCCAGAAGTGGAGATGTGGCTCAAGTGGTAGAGCACCAGACCTGAATTACAAAACTCAAGGAAAGTGCTCAGGCCTTGAGTTCAAGCTCAGGACTAGCACCAAAAAAAAAAGGTTAAAATACTACAAAAGATGCAGAATTTATACTTACTATCTAATATCAGAAAATAAAGAGTAAGCCATGAGCTGGGAAGGTGGCTCAGTGGTAGAGTGCATGCCTTGCATGTATGAGACCCTAGGTTTGATTCCTCAGCACCACATAAGCAAAAAGAAAAAAGCCGGAAGTGGCACTATGGCTCAAGAGCGCTAGCCTTGAGCTGAAGAGCTGAGGGACAGTGCCCAGGCCCAGAGTTCAGGCCCCACTACCGGACCCCCCCCCAAAAAAAGGGGAGGGCCATAAAATGCTTTAAAAATAGAAAATTATGGTAAGAAAAAATAGCACTAGCACAGTGGTTTACAGTGTAATTCAGAATTACTGAAGCAGAAAGATCTGTGGGCATAGGATTCTGTTTTAATAAGCTTGAACTCAGGGCCTGGGTGCTGTTTCTATGAGCTTTTATTTTTCAAGGCTAGCACTTTAACACTTGAGCCACTGCTCCACTTCTGGCTTTTTGGTGGTTGATTAACTGGAGGTAAGAGTCTCATGTTGTTTCCTGTCCAGGCTGGCTTCAAAACATGATAGTGAGATTTTAGCCTCCTGAATAACTAAGATTACAGGTGTGAGCTACTGGCACCCAGCTTCCATGTGGTTTTGACACACAAAAGTTTTAAGAACCACTATACAGTCAACTGGCAATTTAATTTAATTTAATTTCTGTACTGAGTATATCAATGTAGGATCCAGTCTGAAGCCATACAAACATTTGATCAAATGTGTACACCATAGTGTCTAGTCTGAAATTATGTTGAAGTATCACCATAATCAAACAACTCTCCTGGCAGTAGAATATGTGGAGATAAGATGCTTTATTTTTTTGGTCCAGTTGTGGGGCCTGAACTCTGGGCCTGGGCACTGTCCCTCAGCTCTTCAGCTCAAGGCCAGTGCTCTACCACTTGAGCCACAGCGCCACTTCCGGCTTTTTTTTTCTCCTGCTTATGTGGTGCTGAGGAATCGAACCCAGGGCCTCATGTATGCAAGGCAAGCGCTCTACCACTGAGCCATCTTCCCAGTCCAAGATGCTTTGTTTTTATATCCATATATTTGAATCAGTTCTAAATGTAACTGGAGTACAAAACTGGGTATCATACGCGTGGTGGCTCATGTCTGTAATCCTAGCTACTCAGGTGGCTGAGATCTGAGAATCTTGGTTCAAAGCCAGTCCTGGACAACAAAGTCTATGAGACTCTTATTCCCAATTAACCAACCACCAAAAAGCCAAAAGGGAATAGAATCTCAGTTTGGAACACACACACACAGACACAGACACAGACACACACACACACATGGAAAGGAATAGAATCTCAGTTTGGAGTTCAAACACACACACACAGGGAAAGGAATAGAATCTCAGGTTGGAGTTCAAACACACATACACACAGAGGGAAAGGAAGAGAATCTCAGTTTGGAGTTCAAACACACACACACACAGGGAAAGGAATAGAATCTCAGTTTGGAGTTCAAACACACACACACAGACAGACAGACAGACACACACACACAGACACAGAAAGAACCCTAGATAAATAATGTAATTTATAGTATCAGTCTACCCTATGCCAGAAAGTCTAGAGACAAAACATCCCATAGAAACTCACTATCATATTATCATCCTTTTTGTGCTAGTCTTAGAGCTTGAACTCAGGCCTGGGCTCTGTGCCTGAGCTTATTTGGCTCAAGGCTAGTGCTCTACCACTTGAGCTACAGTTCTACTTCCAGGTTTTTGGAGGGAGTTTACTGGAGATACGATAATACTCTCACGAACTTTACTACTGGTACTGGCTTTGAACCATGATCCTTAGATCTCAGCCTCCTGAGTAGCTAGAATTACAGCATCAATTTTCATACTGGCTCTAAAATAACAAGTTATAACAAAGTCACACTAATTACTTCTCTGGAAAAGATGTGCAGGAAACTTTGCCCTTGACCAAACTAAAGATCCCTTAAAAACCCCTTCTCAAACTTCTACCCTCAACAGCTAGGCTTCTGAGCTATACTATGAACACCATAGCATTCTGATCCCCAAATGTTTCCATTTTCCACTGAGGGATAGTTCTTTGAACTTGAGTTTGTGTTAAAGTGAGTGTCTATTAACCAGTCTAAGTGTATAATCCCCATTATACAGGAGGCTAGTGATTTTGTGGCTAGTTTGAGCAACAGAGACCTTGTTTCACCAAAAAAAAAAAAAAAAAAAGTCCTTAAACTATTAGGATTGTCTTTAATTATTCTTCCTATAATTATGACAGGGATATATCACTATGTTCTATACATTTATTCAATATTAATGTACTGAAGGTATAAAAGTTTAGTATTAGGTTGTTCTCAATAGCAATTGAGAAACATTAGTCTAAGCTTTGTCTCCTTATCACAGTTGGGTAAAGATGAAAAAGCAGACCCCAATATAAAACAGATCTAAAATATGTATGTATTTCATGATGATTTAATTAATTCAGACTTGACTATGAGGCTCAGTATCTAACTCCTATTTATAACCCCACTGCTCAGGAAATGGAGATCAGGAGGATTGCCATTTAAGGCCAGCTCAGGCAAAACATCTCAAACAGCTGGCTTCTTGTCACCCCAGCGACACTGGAAGCATAAACAGGAGTGATCACTTGTAGCACCTGGTGTGGCTCCAGTGGTTGAGCCTCTCTAGCAAATATGGGGCCCCAAGTTTCCCCTAGCTGCCCTTGTCCTCAAAAAAAGTTGAACACAGACAAAAAGATGGGTATCCCTGAGCAATGAAAATATTCCTTGTACTTTTTACTGCTTTATACTTACACACTTAAAATTTCTGTAAGCTATTTTGTGTGTGTATGCACATGTTCATGCACACAAATAGTAAAGATAAACTGAATCTTTTGGACTACTATTATTTTTTATACCTAGTGTATTTATGATATCAACATTACAAGTTTGATACAAACCTATAATATTTCCCAGTGCCCATACTGCTTGCTCACAGACATTCTGATGGGGCGAATGGAGAAGCCTCAGGAAAAGTGGCACAGCATCTAAGGAAGGAAAACATGTCAACACCTAAGGTTGAAGATGCTGCATTAAAAATCAAGTGCTTTATTAGCATAAACCATACAAATTGAATAAATATTTAATTTATTCAACTATCATTGAATATTCATCCAATTCATTAATATTACAAATGTTCATTGAATATTACGAGGACAAATATTCACTATTTGCAGCATGCCCACTGACACACTTTGATAAAATTCACCCCATCTATGTTACTCTTAACCACTCTCCCACAATCCTTATAAACAGACTGGTGGGTTTCATCATTCCATCTGCATACATACACATACTATATAGTGGCACATAAAGTACATGTGTAATGCTCACCCTGTCACCCTCCCTCCAAACACAGATAAACAGTCTCTCATCACAATATTATTTTCAAGCATCAATCTTGATGTTTTTGCTGAGATGTCAAAAAAAACCCCTATCAAAGTATATTTTAAATTACATGTATTAGACTCACACCTGTAATCCTAGTTACTCAGGCAGGAGGCTGAGATCTGAGGAATAGCTGAGGTTTGAATCTAGCTTGGCAGAAAAGTCTCAGAGATTCTATCTTCAATTAACCAGCAAAGACACTGGACTGGAGGCATGGCTCAAGAGGAAAAGCTCTAGCCAGGAGGGAAAAAGGGAGTGCATGGGAGTCCCTGAGTTCATGCCTCAGGATCCCCACAACAAAAAATAAACCCCAAAACACAACCAAAATAAAAAAGAACACTACACCAACAAATAAACAACAACAACAACAAAAACCAGTTGCAACATTTAGACAGTGTCAAATTAAGCTTATAAAATTTCACTCACAACCTAGACTTTTTATTAGGGGAGAAGGGCTGCTGGGGACTGAACCCAGGGCCTTATGCCTATTAAGTGGTAGAACATTAAGATATAACCCCAGTTTGGACTGAATTCCAACTTTAACACTAATTACTCCTAGGCACAGGTGGCTATTATAATCCTAGCTACTCATGAGGCTGAGATTTGAGGATGGAGGTTCAAAACCAGCTCAGATAGACAAATCCAATTAATCTCCAATTTACCAGCAAAAAAGAGCCAGAGGCATGGTTTAAGTGGTAAAATGCCAAAAAAAGAACAAGAGGTACTGACTTCAAGCCAGAATGCTGCCACCAAAAAAGAAAAAAAAAAAACTACTTACAGATAAAGAGTTACCATTCTGAGAGGAGGAAGGAAGATTCAAACTGTTTAAACTTTTGAATTTAAGAATTTAAATTAACATCATTAATATAGTAATTGGCCCACTGGTTCTTGGGCCACAAAAACTTTTGAGTCAGAAAGTAATTTTGTTACTTAGCAAGTATGGGAATCATGGACAGATTTTTATGTACCCAAACACTGCACTCAAATCTTCTTCCATTCCTTAGTAATGGAAGAAGAGTAAGTATTTAAATGTATGTAAATCAACCATTCTCACTTAAAATAAAAAGTAACATGTTGTGAATATTAGTATGTGTTGGTCCATTAAGAAAGACAGATGCGGGGCAATGGTGACTCTTGCCTATAATCCTAGCTACTTAGAAGGCTGAGATCTGAGGACCACAGTTCAAAGACAGCCCAGGTAGGGAAGTCCGTCTTATCTTCAATTAACCAGAGAAAACCAGAAGTGGCACTGTGGCTCAAACTGGTAGAACACTAGCCTTGAGCAAAAAAAAAAAAAGAAAGCTCAGAAACAGTGCCCAGGCTGTGAGTTTAAGCCCCAGGACCACCACCCATCACTACCAATAACAAAAAGACAGAGTAGCAATGGTAAAACAAATTGCAATCTTCTTTCTCATCTTTAAGGAACTGAGGAGTAAGACAGAAAACATTGAACCCCATCAGCCAATTACACAAAGCAAAAGCAAAGCACATATACTTGAACCAGACCTAAACCACTTTCAGGAGGATTTAAGGTGATTATCTTTCCAAGTCATATTATGACACATTAATATGGAAATGTTTACTACCTAAAAGACAATTTACCCCCACTTTCAAAATTATAAAAAAATTAGTGATTATGATTTCAATAAATTTAGACAAATACTCTGTTAACATTTAAGGGTTTTAAAATCATCTTTCTTAAATTATAATTCTTCATTTGGTAGAAAAATGAATTAATATTCACAGAAACAATACACTCAGGTTTAGTATGTCATATAACAATTTTCCACTTCTATCTTTGGAAAATAAAAATTAAAATCTAATTACTAATACAAAAATATTTCAAAGTTATACAGATTCTATTGGGAGAAAGGTAAGTAATTGGAGGAGGGAGGGCAAAAAGAACAATCAAACTTATTGAAATTTGTTTGAGAAGGGGGCGGAGGAGTAAGGGAAACTGAGAGAAAGGATAAGTTTGATACTTTATACAAATATATAAAATGCCCTCTAACATAATTAACGTTTGCTAATTAGAAAAAAACTAACTGTTCTTCCCATAAGACGACTTTATAGATGTCTTTAAACACTATGACAGAAATCGCATTAAGGCTCAAGTTATAGAGTGCCTATGTGGAAAGTACAAGGCCCTGAGTTCAAGCCCTAGTAAACAGGCCCTTCCCTGCAAAAAGTTCAACAATGGGAAAACTTCACTTCTAATGTTCTATACAATGGACTACAGTAATAAATCTGTTACTCTCACAGGGAAATATTATCAGTTTGAGGAAGTAATGAGAATAATTTTAGGGAACAGAAAACGTCAGCTACCAAAACAAGGTGACTAAAAGTAACAGTTAAGTTGGCTATTTCAACAACCTTATATGCTAATGGATAGGTGTAATTTGATAATATAAATAGCTACATTCTTTTAGGAGTATCATTGATTATCTTCTACTTTAAAAATAAATCAGTTTTGTTTAATAACCAACTTACTGGACTGAACCACTGCTTGAGTTTGCTCAGAGGTTCCAGATGCAATGTTTGTCAAAGCCCACGCAGCTTCAAACTGTAAAGAAGGACTATAAAACAACAAATAATTTTAAACAGTAGAGATTTTTACATTGGTCTACATGTCTACTGATCACTTCCTTTCTCTTGCACTTAAAATGCATTTAATATTTAAGTTTTAAAAGTTATTTCTTTCCATCTAGCATTTTGAAAAACCCCAACAACATTTTCAAACAACAACTTGGTATAAATGGAATACCACTTCCTCATATGTCCCTATGAAGAATTTCTTACTTATTAGTAAATTCTGTAAGGTCCTGTAACATTTCTTTTTTTTTTTGGGGTCCGGTCGTGGGGCCTGAACTCTGGGCCTGGGCGCTGTCCCTCAGCTCTTCAGCTCAAGGCTAGCGCTCTACCACTTGAGCCACAGTGCCACTTCCAGCTTTTTCCTTTTTGCTTATGTGGTGCTGAGGAATCGAACTCAGGGCCTCAGGCATGCAAGGCAAGCGCTCTACTACTGAGCCACCTTCCTAACCCCGGTCCTGTAACATTTCTTATGATACCTGCATATTACTCTCCAGTTTTATCTGATACGATTATCTAGTCAAACTAGCTTATAAATTAAATTCAACATTCTGAAGTTTGTATTTGGTCTGTTTCTGCTTTCTCTTACTCTTTGGCAGTATTAGGATTTGAACACAGGGCCTCTTACTTGCCAAGAGCAACTCTGCCACTGAGAGACACCTCCAGCTTTATGTCTGTTGAAACTAACATTCTTTTTTTTTTCTTGTTGGTCATGGGGCTTGAACTCTGGGACTGGGTGTCTTCCCTGCACTCTTCAGCTCAAGGCGAGCTCTCTACTGCTTGAGCCACAGCAGTCCTTCCGGTTTATTGGAGATAAAGAGTCTCATGGAGTTTCCTGCCTGGGCTGGCCTTTGAACGGTGATCCTCAGATCTCAGCCTCCTGAGTAGCTAAGGATTACAGGCATGAGCAACTGGCACCCAGCGAAACGTTTCTCACACTACGTCTTTCATTCTTTTGAGTTTTTTTTTTGTGCTAGCACTGGGACTTGTACTTTTGCTTGGCTTTTTCTACTCACTACTTGAACCATACCCCCATTTCCAGCTGTTTGGTTTTTATTTTTAATTTTTCTTGCTGGTTATTTGGAGATAAGAATCTTCAGGTTTTCTCTCCTCAGACTGGCTTCAAACCATGATTCTTAGATCTCAGCTTCCTGAGCTAGGTTTACAAGTGCTAGGATTTTTCCACCCTCACTATAGGAGAAGCTGGTCTCAAACTTGTAATCCTCCTGGCCTTGGTCTTAGAAGTGCTGTGATTTCAGGCATGCACCATTACTCACAACTTTCTTTTTACGTTAAAGACCAAACTTCTAAGAAAACCTAGTAGCCTACAAAGGGAACACTGTACATTAAAAATAAATACGAATATACTTACTTGTCATCTCTTTCAAGACAATGAACTAAAATAGGTAATATTCCAGATTTTATTAAATCATCAATTGGTGGATTTCGATCACTGGACAAAAGCTTCCTGTAAGATATATATACACATATATATGTAGATATGTACACCTCATAGAAAACTTAGTAACTACTAAAATTAAATTCAAATTAATATGTAATATATATTATTCTAAATCTGAATATCAGGCAAATTACCCTCTTTGAAAGGTTATTTTGTAATCTATAAAATGTAACATCCTAATTATAAAGATGAATTTGTAAATTAACAAAAATACTCAAAAATGAGAAAAATACAGTAGACATATTCTCATTAGTACACTGTTATTTCTCCAATAAAGTTCTGAATAAGGCTTCTAAAAAGATAACTAAGTATTTTTTTTTTTTTTGGTCCGTCATGGAGCTTGAACTCTGGGCCTGAGCGCTGTTCCTCAGCTCTTCAGCCCAAGGCTAGCACTCTACCACTTGAGCTATAGGGCCACTTCCAGTTTTCTGGTCGTTTATTGGAGATAAGAGTTTCATGGACTTTCCTGCCCGGGCTGGCTTTGAACTGTGATACTCAGATCTCAGCCTCCTGAGTAGCTAGGATTACAGGCATGAGCCACCAGCACCCGGCTACAACTAAATATTTTTATGTACTAGTTTTGTTTTGTATTTAATTTTGATCCCAGAGAAAATAACTGGGCAAACATCTTCAACATAGCATTTACCCGACTAAGAAAGAAATTAAGAGTTCACTGAAGTATTTAAAGTTAGTCATACTACAACAGAGTAAGGACAAGTGCAGGTAGGCTTTATATATTTACAACTGATAATCACGTTCAATTCTTTATCCTATTCTATGCATTGATGTGAAAGTCATAAAGGCATGATACTCATATAGCAACTAAAGACAAATGGACTGCGGAATATACAAGAAAACGAAGAGCTCCTAGAGATACTGAGTTGAGCAAGACAGACCATTTTCTCATGGAGCTTGTAAGATTAAAAACAAAACCTAGCACCCTACTCCTCCCTTTTTTGGTACAGGTCTTGGAGGCCTGAACTCAAAGGTCTGGGCTTCGTTCCTGAATTTTGTTGCTTAAGGCTAGTGTGCTACCATTTGGTGGTTAATTGGAGATGAGTCTCACAGATTTCCCTGACTGGGCTTGGCTTCCAACCTGATCTTTAGACCTCAGTCTACTGAATAGCTAGGATTATAGGCATGAGCCACCAAGTCTGTCAGTACCCATTTTAATATGTAGGAAACTGCTTGTCTAGCTGATAAGCCCTCAGTGTGGCCTAACACAAGTCTTCACTCCATCACTGGAATGCCTGCTATATAAAATCAAGGCCAGGGGCTGGGAAGGTGGCTCAGTGGTAGAGCGCTTGCCTTGCATGTATGAGGCCCTGGGTTCGATTCCTCAGCACCACACTAAACAAAAAGAAAAAAGCCGGAAAGTGGCGCTGTGGCTCAAGTGGTAGAGCGCCAGCCTTGAGCTGAAGAGCTGAGGGACAGTGCCAGGCCCAGAGTTCAGGCCCCACGACCGGACCCAAAAAAATAAAAAAATATAAAATCAAGGCCTAACAAAAATTTGCCAGAATGGAGGAAGGGTGAGCAAATATAGTCATGTGATTTGATGTAAAAAGAACTATATATAAAAAAAGGAAGATTAACCAGATCATCTCCTTATATATACAGGAAGCGAGGGCACAGTTAGCCCCATTTAATCAATCCTGTTGTCTATAACAGGAATTCTATTACACCATTTAAATCTAATTTCTACACCATTTGCAGCCTACTCTCCTCACTAGGAAGACCTTGCCAGCTACTCAAACTCTGTCACTTCAGAGTTCAGTTCCAGTTCCATGTGTTCATTACACAATAACACCCTTGAGTTTTTACACAGTGTAGTCTCACACTTGCTGTTGAAAACCACTATTTACATAGTTCTACGTTCTCAATTATATACTAAATTTCTTAAAAGGAGAAAAATTATCAAAGAAAAATTACATGAGTGTGCACACCTCCCCAGCACATAAATCACAGTGCCACCATGGCATATAGAATTATTAGTGTAACACAGTGCTTAGCACAAACAGAAACGTATCAAGCAAAAATAAATTCACCCCATTATAAAATAAAATTGGTCACACCTCCATTCAAAGTCTTAACTCAGTTTTTCTCAATTAAGAATGTGAGAAAACAAGGGAGAAGATTTAATGAAGATAATTGAGCCAACTTTGTGTATAGCTACTTAATAAAAAAAAATTACTGCTTTACTAAAGACAGTTTTTAAAGAGAAATAACTTTCATTCTTGACAATAAAAGACATAATATCTATAACAAATAATATGGAATCACGGGGCTACTGTGCTGATTTGTGTTAAGACTTGTTTTATCTATCTCAGTTGTTTCTTTATTATTGTGAAAAAACATAGTCTTGGAGTTAACTTTTTGGCAGTACTAGGATTTGAATTCAGGTCCTCATATGTGCTAGGTATACTCTACCAATGAGTCATACTCCCAGAAAATCTTAGAGGAGTTATTGTGAAAATCAATTTTCTCTTGTATGTTTCTCAAGACAGTCTCAGGATCTCCCATGGATCCACAGAGCACATACTTAAGGGCTGTCTCAGGAGAAGGACACTTGTTCTTGCAGAGTTCATGTTGAGAAGAATTTCTTCCCCTACCAAGCACCAACCCTTCACCATTCTGATGAGAAATGTTCTGTGATTTTTTTTCTCCCTATCCTCCAAAGCCTAAGACACTTTCACCTGTGAAAATGTTTTATTCCAGTTGAAACTATACTAACTAGGATCACTCACATCATTTTTCTACTAACAATCCTAACGTGATGTTATTGTTATATTCATAAATATAAAAAGCAATCCTAGCCAGGCGCCAGTGGCTCACGTCTGTAGTCCTAGCTACTCAGGAGGCTGAGATCTGAGGATCATGGTTCAAAGCCAGCCTGGGCAGGAAAGTCTGTGAAACTCTTATCTCCAATAAACCACCTGAAAACCGGAAGTGGCGCTGTAGCTCAAGTGGTAGAGCACTAGCCTTGAACTCAAGAGCTGAGGGACAGCACTCAGGCCCAGAGTTCAAGCAATCCTGTATTGTATCATAGTACAACTATGTGTTTTCTAACTTATTGGTTAATACAATGTTTCAGAAGCTTTTCTTTTCCTATAAAGTATGACAGCATAGGTTTCCCAATAGTAATGTACAAAATGACTTGATATTCTGGGAAGTTATTGGGAGTGTACATGTAGCCATACATTTAGTGTCTACTTGTCATATACAATGATATACTATGCTTTAATTCAACTTACTGTTTGGGTAACATGAGCATTATCTTCTACCTGATAAGGGTCTAAAGAATCTGACATAATGCTCAGATCTCAGCCCCTTGAGTAGCTAGGATTACTAGCCAGGAGTGACCCATGGCCAATAAAGTTAAATTTGACAGACAGTATTATTACTTAAAGCTGTTTCTAAGATTTAACTTACCTAGCAGCTTGAACTGCACTTAATTGGATTCCTTGGTTATCACTGGAAGCATTCTATATAAAAAACAAACAATGACCATGATATAGATACACAGTAACTAGTTGTTGACTACAACAAATACAAAAGGTAATAATATTCAACTTACCTGAACAATAGCTTCTAAAGAGGTATTTTGCTAGGAAAAAGTTAAAAAGAAAACAAAATTAAAAAGACCTTAATAGAGGACAGCTGTAAACCTTTCATTGATAGTTTTAAGTTACTAGAATAGCAGTAACTTACCACTCTATAATCACCATCTATATCAGAGTCTTCACAGATATCTTCATGTGGTACATTCCGTCTCTTCAAGAGATGTTCATCTCTTTTATTCTTATAAAACACACACACATACACACAAGAAAACCACACAAACACTTTCAGTTAAGAATACGAACAAGATGCATATTTTCACAAAGTCAGGCAATCAAGTGCCTTCAAACTGAAATACAGTGCCTTAAAAAGAAAAAAACTTCCAATGCAAAAACTTAAGCCAAATTGTGAATTAAACACTTATCTGACCACAAATTGACTCCCAAATTCCAATTACTACATTTCCAATGTACTGTGAACTACGAAAAAAAAAATTTTTTTTTACTAGAAAGGATGGTGTATATTTTAAGCCAGAACCAAACACACACACTTAAAAAGTACTAAACCCTTCACACACACATCATCTAGGAGCTTCTCTCATCACCTAAAAGCAAAATCAAAGTAGATGTTGGGCAGTTTAAAACGAGACAAAAATCAATCATGTCTTACAAAAATTCAAGGGCCATTTTAATTTCACTTAAAACATTTAAATTTACAATTAATTAACATTTGAAAAGTGGATAAAAGTTTTAATTAACTTTTAACTTTTTACCTTCAGAGAGTATAACTACTTATTAACAGCAGAACTATTTAGTGTAATAATACCTCTATGACTTATACTTTATAAAGCCCAGTAAAATTGCCAAAAACAATCATTTAACTTGATTGTATCTATTTCCAGGGGATAAACTGTATTTTAAGAGTTTTTCAATTTCAATAGCTTTTCAAACTTAGGCAATTTTTTCCTTCCTCAAAAGAAGATGCATTGAACATTAGAGACTGAAAAAGGCATAACTATATTCAGTAAATAAACCTCCATTATACAATAGCTTATACATTTTAACTAAAACACTAACATATTTGCTATCTGCTACATGTTAGAATTATCGACCAGACTCACCTTCCTTAATTCAACTACAACTTCATTTCGTTGTCTTCTCATAGTCTACAAAACAATTTAAAATTTTTTAATCAGTTCAAAAAACTTACTCAATGATTTAACATATACATTTAATCTTTTTATCTAGTCATATATGTACATATATAGTTTGCTTACAAGATCCTACTCTAAAGCTGTATAAATTTCTGCCACAAATTCACATTTCAAAAATATTTAAAAAAACTAGAACTTCAGATTTATGCAGGGGCTGGGAATGTGGCTTTAGTGGTCAAGTGCTTGCCTATCATGCATGAAGCCCTGGGTTCGATTCCTCAGTATCACATAAACAGAAAAAGCTGGAAGTGGTGATGTGGCTCAAGTGGTAGAGTACTAGCCTTGAGCAAAAGCAGCTCAGGGACAGTGCCCAGGCCCTGAGTTCAAGCCCCTGGACTGGCGAAAAAAAATTATGCAAAAAATACAGAGGTACAAAGGAAAAAAAGGCCATAATCTTATCCTCATGTAAATTAGTGACATTTAAAGTCAATATGCACAAAACTGCTAAGTTCACCTGATTTAAAAAGGGAGGGGGAGGACAAAAAGCCTTCAGAGCCTTCCTACTCATAAAGTCTTTTCCAAAGACTATTAGATTTACTACACCTGTAAGACCAATGTCTGTTTTGTTCTTCACTTTACTTTGGTTCACTTTATTTATAGATCTTGGAGGTCTTCTATGGTGGCATGTTAACTATTCTATCACATATTGTGACCACTCCTTTTTTAAAAAATATAATTTTATTGTTATTATTAAGGTGTTATACAGAGG